TTTACGGGGGCGCTCGTCCTCTTTGTGCTCCCTGGTGAGTGTCCTGGGAAGACCGGCGCGCCCAATCCACCCCGGGCGACGGCCGCGCCTCCTTCCTACGCCACTGCGAGAGTAGATCGAGGGGTGCCAGCGTCAGACGGAGCCGCCGGCCGGGGTTCGAGGGGATGCTCGGGGGGCACCGGGGGGTCTTTCGAATATCGATCTCTCCGCGTTCTCCCAGTCATTCACTCTCTCTCGTGCAGTTCCACGCTCGTCCCTCTTCCCACTCGTTTCGCGCTCCTAGTACTCCCACAGAATAGTGGAAGGGGTGCGGAACAGGATGCGGAGAGCGGGGCCAAAAGGGTGGCTTTATCCGGAGATCCCACCTAAAGCCCGGGGGAGGAGGGCATTCACCAGGGAACGCGCCGCTACCAACTACCGCCACTACCACCACTACCACTAACCGACATCCAGAAAAATATCCTCCGAGATCGGAGGGAAATTGGTTTACCGGATCCTGCAGCACGGCGTTTGTACGGAATTATTCCCCACCCGCCTTTTCACTCCTCTCTGTGCCATTTAATTTGCATCCTATCTTTGGAAATTCGTTACACTCTAGCCTCCTTCGGCTTTTGCGACTATCTAGTTTTATAAGAGAAAACGAGAACACAAAGTAGGAGAATAGATTCCCTTGCAGATCAGCTGGTGCCTGATAGCATTATACTAGCATGTAAAACGTTTAAAACGTTTCACGTTTTTCAAGAGCCTTGTTTAATAAATATCTGATATCGCTGAATACAGAGCGCAATACATTACTTAGCATTATTGTACGATTATTATTAATAATTTTTTATAGGCATCCGTTTTTCCATCACGATTGATACATCACTCTCAAACTTATACCATTATCAACCACAAATCATCATTGTCCTCATAGTCATACTTGTTTTATACATGGCGTTACGTCATTTCTTGTGTAACAGAATCGCCGTGCGTCTTCATTTGCTATACCGACCTCAAAATTCATTTCACGGCAATGACTGAGGGATGGATAAGTGGCCAGCGTCGTCATCTTGTTCGTGAAAATTATCGTCCGCGGAAATGTCTCGAAGCGAGCAGAGTCCCGCTCACGTCTACCCTCTTCCTTCCTTTTCGCTCTCGGGTTATCATTCCTCTCCCGAAGCGGAGCCTGGCCAAGCGTAGGTAGATCGAACTCGCCTTATGACCGCGCATCTACACGATACATGAGACATTGCGTAGATCTAGGAATAAGACTGCATGTATGCAGTGCAGAGGTACTCTGTATGTATATTTATATACATACATATGTATATGTAATTACGTATCTCCACCCGCCTTCCTCGCCTCTTCTTCCTAGGAGTTACATAAGCACGCCAACCAACGAAATTACAGGGAAAATGAACGATCCTCGGGACTAGGAGTCGGAAATGACGTGACTGGCTGCTAACTAGCGTCTGATTTAACGGCTATGTAAAATCGTTTAATTTTCAGGGCTGAGTAACGATTTGATTAACTCTGTGATTGGACACTTTGAAGAACAATTACACGAAGGGCAAAGCCCGCTTATTGATCTTCAAAATAAGAATCTTATTTTCGAGAAATAATTTCCAGTTGACCTGTGTTATCGATGGTTCGGAAAATTCACCATCGTTATTTGAAGAATCAGATAACTACGACTTATCATGCGATAAGTCACACCTACATGAGACTCGCATGCCAAAAAGTTTTCGTTGCTTAAAAGATGAGGCTAAGTTAAGATCATCGCCTTTGAATATTCAGATCGTTTGCGCTCCAAAAGTATTCGCAACAAGATAATTCTGTTTTATAGGAGAATAAAATTCGAAGAGATACGTCAGAGCGCTATATTATAAATAAAGAGTTCATTGCGCCGCCAGTTCAATTCGTTCCGAAGCAGACCTCGGGTCTACTGTCGGCATTTTTATTTCTCCATTTAGACAGGTTCGTGTCCTCAGCTTATCTGGAACAGTTTGCAGTGCAAGACAACCGCGCTGCGCTCGAGACGCGTATTGCATATCGATTCAACAAACCAAGGAAACCAGGATGGACTCGGCGACGGTGTCGCCCAGTGCGCAAAGTCGCTTCTTGCATGGTCCAGTCCGGAACAAGTCCCGCTGTGTCCCGCCAACATGTCCGAAGATACCGGTACGTATTATACCTACGTGTGCTCTTTATACGTCGTCTCTTCAAAGCAGGCCTCGCGGGACCCGTTCGTGACTGCACGCGCTATCGCCGACCTGTCACGCGTCCGTACACGTTCTCGATGGATCTCGCTCGCGATCCGTCAGATCGATCGGATCCACTTTGCGAGGGGTCACGCGAGGATCATCACGCGCTCGCTGATTGCACCCTGACATTTCCCATCTCGCACTGGCTCGAAACTCCGCCCGGGAGACGTAGGCGAACACCGACACAGGTTGTCAATCACTCGGCCGAAGAGGTAGTTCTAAGGACGTAAAATTGACGGCTTTTTCGAGCTGCTTCGCGCACGCGAAATCGAAAGCACGGCTGAAAGTTTCCTTAGTTAACTAAATGCGCTTTACATGCTGATGAAGCATATGCGAGTTATTTGAGGGAGTTGTGGAATTGTATCGCAAAGTTCAATTTCCAGTGCGTAAGGATTTTTTCTCTTATTATTATTTTTCTTCGCTTTGTGATATTAATCACTTGAAATCGGTTATTATTGGCACTTCCGGAGAAAATGACGATGTCTAGCAGATCTACGTTTGTGTGTGTTTCTTCCCTCGTAATTAATTATTTACTAAAGTTCACGACTGCGATGAATTATTGTCATGTGATTTGTATCTTAGTTAAGTAAAATAATTTATGTGAGAAACGGTCTGTGAATTTCGCCAATATTTCCGACGTTTTATCGATTGCAATTCACGACCTCATGACGACATTCTGGTCGTGGCAGCAATTAAAATAGGACGGAGTTCAAGAGATGGCCTTTGTTATTTTCCTCGAGCGTGTAACAGAAATTCTCGGAAATTTAGCATGAGTTTACTGTATATTGCAGTAGTATACTGTTGCACAATTTTCTTTCTTTTTCTCTCTTATTCTTTCCCTTCTCCGCCCTTTTCCGAGCTTTTCCGTGCTTTCTATTTTTTTCCATTTTTAATTGCATTTTCCGGGCGCCATTCCCGTCGCTATCCGATTTCCCGTCCTAAGAATTTCGCAATATTTTTTCAACGTAATCGCAGTAAAATGTAATAGCAATTTACTTCAGAAAATTTAAAAATCCTTGAACGAATGTTGCATTATCATTGATAAAAATATAATTTATGCGGTAGTTTTGCAAATTGTCACACGTGCAAATATGAGTATTATAAATAGTAATTTATTTAACTTTCTGAACATTTTGCATGAGATAGATCATACGCCTGTTAAATCTTTCACGCCACTTAATCTTTCTAATATATTCCAAGAATAGAAGTGCGAGAATGCAAAAACGAACGATTTCCTAATTCATTTATAAATGTCACAGAATGTAAATTAAAGTCAAACTAATTATATATAATCAATAGATCTCAAGATTATTTATTAATATTAATATATTAATATATTAATTATATTCATTCATTATATAAAGTCTATTATTCTATGAAACATTAAACTGCTCGAATATCTATTTAATTAATCATCGATCGGACTAGTAAATTAATTAAGTCGAACTTTATTCTAAAATATCATAAACAGTCAATATTTTACGGTAGTTCGAACACCATACGTGGCACTGAGAGATGTTACTATAGATAGACACTGGCTAGACAGAATATTCAATATTTCTTGAAAAGACAAAGCGCAACTTTTCTGTTTCCGCGCGTTGAATCATTGACGATCCAACTATACGTATCTTGATGTAAATTGTAAAGTTAGTATATCTACCCTTCTTGCATGCGGAGGAGGACTATAGTGTCTTTAGCTATAAAATGCGACATTTGCGTCGTCGAGTAGCGGATGCGATAGAAATAGATATCGAATGATCTGAATTTAGATCTGCAACTGTATTGCCACACCGGGTTGAGATAAGAGTTTCCATGATAAAGAGCGCGATAAAGACCGGTTTAGCGGAATTCTGTCCTATATGCGATATTATAGCGATGATGGAAACATCACGGGACTTCGTTATCTATTCTTCATAATTTTTGCTTCTGTATGAAATGTATGAAACGATGTCTTTTCTCCGGATCGAAAAATATTATTTATAGAATAATTCTACCATTTTTACTTGTGTGTGTGTGTGCGACAATAATAGTCGACATATTTTAATCGTACATTCTTATGGACAGCTGATCTACATCCTTCTTCATATATAAATAACTTAACTGAATTGTAGAAATACAAAGTTTTACAATAATATTAATAACATTTTTTATTATTATTTTAATATAACCGATTAAAAAGTCAAACAAGTGTTTAGCAAATAATTATAATAATAATAATGGCGAACAGAGATTTGGCCTTGTGTAATTCTCGTGAAAAGTTCCACTCGATAAATTGTAGGTATATAACATAATAACGAAGAATATATACCTATGCAACGGATAAGCGTGACGATTCTCGGAATATATGTATATTACTCACAGTTAATTGACCTCTTGATAAGGGATAACGCTATATGTATCGCTATATGTATATGAGTATCGCTATATCCCGGCCCTCAACTTCGTAATTCGTGTAAAACTATCGCGACTTTCGCCATGCCTCTCAATCACGCTCCGCTCTAATCTCAGCATCTGTTGAATCAAATCAATCAAAGAGCGAAGCCGACTTCCGAGCTTGCCCCGAATGAGCCCAGATCTCGTGACCGCAAACGAGTATTCTCGGTTTAGCCCGGGCTTCGATGTGGGCGAGGGAGAAATCAGACTGTCGAGAGATCGCACGTACGAGATCCTTGACGCCTGGCAGCCACGCGAGTTTTCGCCGCGAGCCGATTCCCAGATTCGTTCGTTCACGCGAGATCGCGAACCAGGCGAGATTCCACGAAGGCGGACACGAGCGTGCAGCGAAATCACGAGGTTCCGCTTTTATCACGTAGGCGGTAACACGTACCACGATGTAGAGCCGGTTTCACAGAGCCATCAGTCCCTCATTGTCTTCCGTCCGATAGGTCAGAGTGTCGTTTGCTCTACGCTTGCTCTACGCTTGCTCTCGCGTCGATCGTCCAAAAGGATCGTCGTCGTTCGTCGTTCGTCGTTCACCGATAGTGCCGGATAATGTCACCCTGTCGATAGATCGTTCCGTATCATTTGGAAAGTCATGGTTTTCTCTTGCGAGGGACGAGACCCCTTGGAGCACACCAGTCTTTATCAGCGCGCCGGTCAGACATTCCGCATCATTATGTTTCATGAGTCACACGAATAACCAATATTTCATCGCTGTATCAAATTATTTTAAAATCACGAATCAAGCGTAATACAATAATAACATTGACAACGTTATAATTTTCTTCCCTTAGGCAATGAAATTATCACGATTGCAAGATCTAATAACATCTAGAAACATCTATTACATCTAGAATCTACATACATCTAGAAAATGTTTATGTTTCTTGTTTAACCATTTTGCTGGACCGCTGCTTGCAGATAGTGAAGACAGCGATGCCGAGGGTGGTCTGGGTAACGTAAACAAGATGGTGATGCGACCACCTGGCCACAGCGGTAAAGCTAAGAAGGGCCACATTTGCTTCGACGCGACCTTTGAAACCGGCAATCTCGGCAGGGTGGATTTGATCTCCGAATTCGAGTACGATCTCTTTATTAGGCCTGACACTTGTGGGCCCAGATTACGCCTGTGGTTTAACTTCACCGTAGACAACATAAAGGCGGATCAACGGGTGATCTTTAACATCGTGAACATCTCTAAAAGCGCCAATCTCTTCCGACATGGGATGACGCCGTTAGTGAAGAGCAGCACTAGGCCGAAATGGCAGAGGATACCGCGAGAACAGGTAAAATTTCGAAAAGTCAATGATTATTGATTTAAGTCCCGTGTCTATGGCAATTTATGAATTTTAAGTTGATTGCATTATTAATACATTTTCAGCTTCGAACGTTGGCAAAGAATATTGCCTCAGTCTTCCTTGATATAAATTTTTAAGTTTGTTAGAAACTAATAGAAGAATAATTTTAGAAAAGTGTCTCAGTACGATTTAACTATATCCTAAATTTGCAATTTCAATACGCAAATGCACATCCATATCAATCTAAAGCAAATCTAATCAATTATATCTATCGCGCGATTGACGCAGACATTTCAATTGGCAGTATCGCCAGTTTAAATCTGTAGAGAAACTGTGCCAATACTTCCAATACCCAATTATTCCCTCAAGCACTAGCAAATTAGAATTATCGGCATCGCGAATTGATTGATGATCACCATCCTTGCCTACGTGGCTGATAACTATCGTAATTTTGGTCGATATCTTTATATAAAACAATATTATAACATGTTATTATCAAAACATGATTTTGACAGAAATCATATTTACTGGTAACCCCCAAGAAGTTTTTCTTGATGTTTATTTTAGTTCGTGTTATTAATTCGTTATAATTTCATCAATTGTATTGAAGTAATTAAAAGCGCTGATTCGTTCCTCTCGATGTTGCAGGTATTCTATTACAGATCCGCGCAGCATCAGAATCACTACGTGCTGAGCTTCTCTTTCGCGTTCGACCGCGAAGACGACGTTTACCAATTCGCACTGACATATCCGTATTCGTACACGCGTTACATGGTGCATCTCGACAACTTGTGCAGCAGGCTACTGTACACGAAGAGAGAGACGCTGGCTGAGTCGATCCAAAAGAGGAATGTAGAGCTCGTGACTATAACCTCCGACCTCGAAGACACGGAACGACCTAGAAAAGTGGTCGTCGTCCTCGCTAGAGTTCACCCCGGCGAGTCGCCGTCCTCCTTCGTGTGTCAGGGTTTGATGGACTTCTTGGTCAGCGCGCATCCTATCGCTCAAGTTCTAAGAGAATACGTGATATTCAAGATAGTGCCGATGCTAAACCCCGACGGTGTCTTTCTCGGAAATTACAGGTGAGAATGCTTCTAATAGGATCGGAAAGAAATCGACTTTTATATATCTACGTAGCTACACATTTCAATAAATTGCCAACAAATTAAAACTCTAATTGAAAACCAAAGAATCAATTTTATAAATGAACTGTTTTCGCGCTTCTACGGAAGCTCTCTTTTTATCACGGATAAGAAGATAATACGATTATTTTTCGCGTTAAGATCCACCGTAATGGGATTAGATCTGAATCGATCCTGGAATTGCATCTCCGAATGGATTCACCCTACCCTGCTCGCGACTAGAGCGATGCTGAAGTCGCTCGATAAGAACTCGCATACTCCATTGGATTGCGTTCTGGATTTACACGCTCACACCAACGCCACGGGTGTCTTCGTCTACGGAAATACGTACGATGATGTCTACAGGTAATTCTAGTCCATTTCAAATAATGTTAAATGTTCCGTTAAGCCAAATTTGAAAGAGTTTATCATTAGTCTACCATCCATAAAGCGAGAGAATAAAAATTTAACGTCAATCGCGCTTGTATCCTAATCTGACTCATGGCTGCCAGCCTCTCAGGTACGAGAGGCATATTGTCCTGCCGAAATTGCTAGCTCAGCACGCGGAGGACTATGAACTAGGCAACACCATGTACAATCAAGACCACAACAAAGCCGGAACTGCCCGCCGCTATTTGTGCTCTATTCTAAAGGAGCACGTCAATTGCTACAGCATCGAGGTTTCCATGTATGGTTACAACAAGAAGGGAATACCGGGTATAATGCCGTACACGGAAGAAGGATGTATCCTTCTCTAATGATTATATTAATTATAGTCACTCATAAATTTAAAAAATACCAAAATTTAAATTTAAAAAAATCTTTAAAAGTATTAAGAGTATTTCGGTATTAATTAGTATACATAATTGCGTCAAAATTTGAAATAGTTATAGATTCTAATACACAATCAGAGAAAGTTGGGTCCTTAACGGTCGGAATCAAACAGATTACAGACTAGGACGCAATTTGGCGCGAGTTTTTCTGGAATATTACAAGCTCACTGGGCTTATCCCGTCGGGGCTTCCCGATCAGCCGTCGAGCAGACGAGCGCGTCAATCTCGACAGAGACATCGTCTTCCAAGGGAGCCCAGACCGAGAACAGTCCGAACTCCGGCGACCTTGCATCTCGCCAGCATTTACGAGTAATTATTTCAACTATATCGCATGCAGATGCATCGATTACCTCGGAATGTCACAAAATCTCTATCATAAACTGTTTATATTAGAGATAAAATTAAGGAGAAAGAATATCGTTTCAGTATTGATTTATTAATAATCCGCTCTTTCGAATACGGGCAAATGATCACACGGAGACGAAAAAATTTAATGACGTAAGAAAAGATCGACGGCGATAGTTCTCTGGTAAACAGTTTCTATTGGAAATATAGAAACGTTAACTCGAATTCAGGATAGAACAATATGGGTATTATTTATCATTTATCGAGACAAATTACAGTCGGCTAATCTCGGACCGAATCGTCAGGTACTTCCGGGAGGAATCTGAACCGCTCCCGAGCGCTCGTTACCGATCGATGAGCGGTACGCGGATGGGACAGCAGCCCGGAACCGGAATCGCGAGTGAAACTGGAACGGGCGTCGGCGGCGGGTGCAAGAGCCCGAGCTACAGGTTCCGGAGCCCCGGGGCACCGCTCGACAGGGTGCAGACCCTGACGGGGCGACCCGCCGCCGCCGAGCCGCGGCTCACCATTATCGATTTCAATCAGCTGACACGGGGCGGTTTGGAGCTCGCAGCCAACAAGAACAAACCGACGGTTCCATGCAAGAGGATCGTCAGGTCGCGCAGATAGCGATCGTCTCGCCTCGGTTAACCCTAGAATCCATGATACATTTTTTTGACCTTCTAATCCATGACTGGGGGCAATATCGACCCCACGCTTTATTTGATCGTAAAACCGGTCCTACAGAAATAAAGGGCCTTTAAACCTACATGAATTTCTTCGTTTTTTAATAACGAAGAGAATGGTATACGGTAAATTTAATTTTACTCAAGTTTAGTTAGTGAAAAATCCATTTAAAGACTGAAAAACGCAGAAAATCAGCAAAAACCTCTTTTTTTAAACAAAAATTTGTATCTTTTTTTGTAATCAACCGATTTTAAAATTTCAAACGGGGTTTTAAAGAGGACACATTAGACTATTAGAAAAAAATTGTCATCGCTATGTTCTGTTCAAAAAGTATATTTATTTGGGACTATAAAGATGAAGAAATTCGCAAAGTTGAAATACGGAAAAAGTCGATGAAAAAACCATAAAAAATTGTATTTTAAGTATTATTTCATTTTTATTTGATACAAAATAGTAAAAAATATGAAAAAAATGAAACATTATATCGCCCAGCCATTTTCTGCGAAATGTCAATCTTCTTAGGCAACGGGATTTTTACCGACTAAATTGTGTGATATTTCGTCTTAAATAATATTTATGACTATTTATGCTCAGATTACGTAATAATACATGATATATATTGATTCTAGCGAAAAAATAAAATTAGCTTACCGTGACGAAACTCAAACGGCAAGTCACGACTGGGGTCGATATCGACCCCACGCCCGCTTTACGACTGTGCTACTTCACTGCTAGCGAACAACTAACGCTGCGCCCGACATAACCCTACTTTTAGAAAGTTGAAATGAATTATGGTTCAGGTCCTGAGTCGATAATGTCACTCGCTAGCTCAGGAGCGTAGTTCAAAGTTCGCCTGGGGTCGAAATCGACCCCAGTCATGGATTCTAGGGTTAAGGAGAGATCCTCGGCGAACCGATCCTCCAACGTCTCCAAGGACGCGAAAATCAAATGTGGTATACTATTACTATTTCCTATATAAGAAAATTGCCTTCGTGACAACGTATTAAGCAATATTGGTTCACGTGAATGTAGGTGATTGCATCGATTCGCGCTACTTCTGGCAACGGAAATAGAAGACTTCTCGAAGAGAAAAGGAACCCGAAGAATGCACTCGGATGCTGCTTCTATACAATTGCTACTATCGGGGTTTATTAATGATAAGAAACTTTCGCTACTTTTACACCGAGTAATTACAAATTTAATAATATCAACGATAATAGTGCACATTTATTCTTCAAATTATGCAATACCCTATGTGCAATTATGCATAATAATATTATGCATTCTTCCACATAGATCTTTTGAGCCTTCTCTCTACAGTACACCATTTTCTCTTTCACTCTTTTCTCGTGAAAAAATAATCTCTAATAAATCTCTATCTCACATTGCATGTTTCCAATTTATATTATATACTTGTTAAATTTCTTATAGTTGTTTATAATATCGTTATCAATATTACGTGTATAATACCAACTTCTACATTCAAAGATTAATATATTAATAATAAGAGAAAAATATATATACAAATTATACTAAATATAAAATAAAACATATACAGTATGCTCGCATTATTGATACCATTCCCGAATTGCACCTAGAGCTTTATACGTATGTTGAAATATAAAATATCACATATAAAATTCGTTCTACTAAAACTATAAAAACTTTTAATACAGTTTCATGTCAGACAGTTTATTTTATTACAATACGAGTAAAAAAATTTTTATTGGAACATGTCTAATCAATAATTCTTTAATTTAGAAAATTGCTCGACTTTTTTTCATTAAAACTAATTTGATCAAGACACATATGACTCTTTGGTTTCTCGGGAGTACTGCGCATTTCACGATGTCTGTCAAGCACACCGAAAACGATCGCACGTGGCGATCGACCATACGCTCCGGATGCATTTCGGGAACAGTCGCGGTGCCTCCGCCGACACCCACGATCAACAATGATTGCATGATTGCATGATTGCACGTACCTGAGAGAATGCGACAATTACGTTTCCTAAAACTCAACGAACCCGCGCTCGAGGCACGCGCGCATTGGATGGACAGAAGACGCAGGTACTACGCGACGGGCCCGTTACACCAGGCCGGATATACGGGCCTAAGAATACTCGGAGACTGGGCGCGGGTGTATCCGTGGCATTTAACGTACTACGGCGACGACAACGGCGACGGGAGAGTCGGTATACTAATCGTGCTTGCGAATTCAACCACGAACAACGAACAAACGAATTTACCGTGTGCGTGTATACGTGTGGGTGTCGCGTGTAAACGTGGGTACGTTGTGCGTGAGAGAACGGGTCGGTGTCCCTGCGTGACTAAGATCTGCGTGTGCGTTTCCGTATGTACGTATATGTGTGTCTATGTGTGTGTGTATATGTGTATTTATATATATATATAAATATATATATTATATATATTATATATATGTGTGTTTGTGTGTGCGTGTGTGTATGTGTGCTGATATATTTGCGATTATATATTATACGTGTACATGTCAATCAATCGGAACTGAAGAGGAACTAAAACGGAAAGAAATGAAACTATAGCGAAAGAAGGGAGCAGACAAGCGGCCAGTAGCTCTTCTACCCCTGGGCTCGAGACGGAACTGGCCCGTGGGCCGCTCCGACGGGCTCGCGAGACCCCTGTCGACGATCCCTCCCCGCCGTCTATCGTAACGCTCGTCTCTGCCCAACCACCGTCGCCGTTACCACCACCGCGCACCGCTCCGCTTACCTTGCATCCTGCATCCTCGATTCTCGCCGCCCCGTTCTCACCCTCCTCCTCCTCCTCCTCCTCCTCTCCCTCCCGCCGTCGTGAGTGCGTTTTCCTCCTCTCCGTGCCACCCCGTGCATCCCCCTCGAGCCGGGCCAGGCACTTCGGGGTTGGACGAGAGCAGGGCGGTGGTCGTTGAACCAGGTATATAACGACTGACGTCTGCGTCGTGCCGGTTGCGCAGCAGCGAAACCGCCCTTACGCGGTCGTGTTCTCTCGCGCTTTCCCTCCCCCCTTCCATCCTCCACCCGCCCTCTCGTTCTACCCTCGTTCGGTGCTCGGTGCGCGGGGTTGCAACCCATGCACTCTCACTCGCTACAGCGCAGCTCTTGGACGGTTCCCCAGGAGAAGCGACTAACGAACCGCGCGAAGCGAACCCGGGCGCAGGGCGCAGGACGGTCGGTATATGGGCGGCGAGGGGTGAACGGTGGACGGTGGACGCGGCGGACAGGAGGAGCGGAGGGGTGTCGTGGGGGATGGATCTGTGCAACGGAGTCGACGTGTACGCGCGCCAGTGGATTAATATCGGAGACGCGTTGAATTCGCCAGGGCCGAAATGATTTAATTCCGGCTTTTAATCCGGGCTTTTATCCGCGCCTCGATATCAGATTATACATCGTCCGCTCCTCTTTCCCACCGTAGTCCCGATGACGTTTTCTTTTATCCGCCGCCACGGGAACTTTGCCAAGAAGCTGGCCAACTGAGTGAGCTATACCTTAATCGTTCCCTCGCTCTTTTTTCTTCGCAAAAATCGGGGGTTTTATTGCCCCCCGCGAGAGATCCTAATACTGTCAAAACTGTCGATTAATCGCGTCACGCTCACGCTTTTAAATTTCGCCTCGCATTAAGAATTAAGAATTTTGTTTTGCTCCAGCCTCGTCGTCGTCGCTCTAATGCGAATTAAATCGCGCCATAAATCGCAACATTTCCATCCTGTCCCATTCCTGTTCCGAGCAGAAATGAAATATGATAATTTCCGCCCTCAGATGCTAAATAGCATGTCGAAAGATTTCCGATATCAAGCTATTAAACGCAAGGGATAACTAATGGATCTATTGAATCGATTCTTATTCAGATTTAAAATTAATTGTAAGATTCTCCGTTTTTTTAAATAATCCCAGGCAGAAACCTGCGAACACTGTTTTCTAAATATAAGAATACGTTGAAAGAAGGTTTAATCTTAGATAAATCATAATATGAAAAACTCATTTTTCTTTCTACCTTCCTATCGAGATATAATGATAAAAAAAAAAAAGAAAAAAGAAAGAAGGTATCTCTAGAAAAGGGAGCGATAGGGAGAACAGATATCCATTAAAAGAAGGGAAAAAAGTCGGACAGTTCTTTGAGCCGTTTTTCTCTTAATGGATCTTTTCTTAGACCTAAGAACTCTAAGCAGCTTCATCACCCCCAGAGGCGATCATTTTATCTGCTACAAGATTACGGCTACGCTATCTTCGTATCTTAGCATATGAAGCTGCTAATAAAATGAGCGAGATTATTTATGTGAAATTTGACTTTGTATAATAAAAAGATTTTGCCACTTTTTATTGTTATCTTATTATTATGATATTTAAAAAAATTATTATATTGTAATATTTTAGTTCATATAGAATCCATCATCGCGATCGCAAGTCATACGTGAAAACAAAATATGCTTGTATATTGTATATTTTTTCCAGTTAAATATATATGAGAGACATTATTATTAACATACTGATGCGTGTATTTATTTAAGAAAAACTGACTCATAATATGAGTCTCATATTTTCACAGCGATGATCAATTTTAAACAGTGTGCTGCCATCTACCGTAATTTTCCTAAATCTTCTGAGAGTTTTCGCTGTACTTTTTTAAAGCAATGATTGTAATAATTGAATTTTCAAACACTGTAAGGCCAATTATTCCAACCTGTTGGTAAACTAACTAATAGTTAAATCATATATATGTCTTTGTTTATCCTTTACATTAGACAAAGATAGACATATGATTTAACTATTAGTTAGCTAACCAACAGGTTGGAACAACCGGCCCTAAGTAATAAAATATAAATTAATCTTTTATTGGCTGTGCCATTTTTTTATCCATTCCTATACACTTTGCAGATATATCGAATAAAGCGTGTGTGACGATTATTGTATCTATCTGCTAAACGACGTTTTCTAATTGTTGACGTCACTATACTTGCATGCAGAAAAGTTTTATAACGCTCTTTTCGTATTCAATTTCAGATGTAGCAAAAAGTGAGAATTATTATCGTCTCACTGCGACACGCGAGACAAGGATTCTATTAAAGATTCAGATGTATCGCGTTTCGAATCATTTGTCTCTCATATATATGCACAATTCACTTACCGATCACGGCATTCACGGCATATTGCAGAGGACCCGTCAAATCATAGCCGGAAGGTGCGGGAGGGTGATACGACGGCGGGCATTCATTTCGGCCATCCCACTCGTTGCAGACGTTGCAGTCGGCACGAGAAGTAACAGAATATAGAATATACAGCGTACATTCAGCTTGCAACACACACACTCTGTAACCGGAGGATTTCTTTTCGTTCACGAGAAAAAAATTACTTAGCACGAGCGACAACGTCTCGCCGCGACTTGTACCGACGTTCAACGAGTAACGTATTACTTGCGCGCGCGCCACACGGCGAGTCAAGCTGATGAGCCCCCGAATCCGGCCGAATCACGTTCGGCCGCCCGCGCCGGCGCAGCACGCGGTGACGCGGCACTCGGCGGTGACGGCGGTCACGTCACGATGCCGCGACCGTTGAATGAATCCGCCGATTTCGGAGTAGCGTATACGTTCCAAGTCGGCGCGCGGACGATTGTTTCCATCGGGATGCAGGCTTCTCTTTGCTTGCAGCTATTCAGCATTCAGCGCACATATCTGTGGACGGTTTGAATTTTAAAACATCAACGCGCGTTCCGAAACTCATCGAGGAGAGGCTTAGAATTGTCCAGTCCACAAGTGCATGTCCAAAAGCAATGCGGCTTGTAAAAATCTGCTGATTCTTTAATATGATTGGTTCTTACCTCCGATTCTTCCCCGGATCCGAGTGTAGAAACCAATCGTTAAAGAATAATTGCTTTTTCCGCTGAACGCAGCCTATCATAACGCGAGGCTATGACGTCAGTTTCGAATTTTCACTGTGCCGCGATAGCAATGACACGTAACTTTTCCACTAATTGTATGGCGGAAACGTGAAAAGATTTGTTTGAACTCAGAATCATTAACTCGACGAAACGTGACCGCGTGAATAATAAAAGTTTATGCGGACTAGATAGAGGAAAAAGTTAAAAGAAAATAGTTTCATGTGAAATTACGCGATCGATCCTTAGGACATTGTTATCAGCGTTGAAGTTGGCGTTAACAATGCTCACAACTTCATGATCAAAGGGGGTTAGGGGTGCAGGGGGAGCGTGCATGAGTCTGCGTGTGAGTACGGACGTATGGAGCATGGCTGTGGTGGAGTCCTCCTCGGTTTAGTAGCTCGCCATGTTTTTTACTGAGTGGGGTGTGTAGAAGAGGCCGGGGTGAAAAATCATCTCTCGAGGCATGCAGGTACGTCGAGAATCCTGGATTTTTTCGTCGTCTCTCGATTAAACGCACGGGCGTCCGAACGCGGAAGCCCGCACGTCGCGAGGCGGACCCGCGTCGCCGTCGACGAC